GGAGCACCGGGTGGGCCAGCTCCAGGGTTGGGGATACCAGGCCGGGACTCGCGGCGTTTTGAACCTGCTGGTTGGTGGCTTCATGTTTCGGATGTCAGACTTGCAACCTGGTACGAGACATTGTAGCTGTTTCCAGGTGCTGTTTCCATCTTCCATCCCCGCCTGAAGATTTAGCTCAATGGCTGCAGTCACCACGGGTTATAATGTTCAAAACTAGGAGTTCCAAAGATCCAGAAGTGCTGCAAAGTTGACTTGCCGAGATTCCTTGGATGTACCTTGCTTTGAAGCAACTTTTTGTGGGCTGAAGCACAAAGTTGAAACATGTTTGTGGGCTTGCATCGCAGAGTTCTTTCTTTCTATCACAATCTTGGTGACTTTGATTTGATAAGGTATATAAATCAATCATCTAAGACTTTAACCATCCATAATCACATATATACAAGCTGTCTTGAGATGAATGCGTCTACACGTTGCCTGCACATTCAGAAATCACATTTCCAAGATCGCTCAGACACCGAACCACCGAACCCGACGACCGTGCCGTCCAGGTGCGGCCGAGCGGCGGAGCTTCGACCGAGCGCCCGGCGGCCGCTTCGGCTGAAGCCCAAGGAGCGGACGTGGCGCGGAAGCCGCGAACGAGGATTCCAACGCTTCCGGAGACTCGTGGCGAGCGCTTGGTTTGAATCGGTTATACGTGGAAAAGGGGTGTTTTGCCGAAGCTGGTGAGTCGAAAGGCTCGTGGGACGTTGGAGCGTCGGTTTTCGCTCGTCGAGTGTGCTCAAGAGGTCGGTGAGTCATGGCATGAATTCGGGAAGAGTTGGTCCTTCGCCCTTGGAAGACGAGTTGGTCTAAGGCATCTTAGATTTCAAGGGAGATTGAGATTAAATATCCCTTGAAACAAGATGAATATCCCTTGAAGCGTTTGGGCTTGTTTCAAGGGAGCTTGAGATTGAATATGGTCCCCTAGGGCTCCAAGGTCCAAGTACCTCCTCTTGAAGGTATGACTGGACCCTCTTGGCACCCACCCCAAAGACCTTCTTAGAAGGTACTTGGAGGTTTATAGGGGTCTCCATGGACACCTAACTGTTTTCCTGTTTTCGTTGTGCCAGGAAAGCCCAGAGAGATGGCAACCCGTGGCACCGGAAAGCCAAGACGGCAGCCCGTGGCGGAGACCGACCGCAGCCGGAGACGATGGAGAAAGCAGGCTCTCGGTTCCTCCGGCAGATACCACCTGCGCAGCTGAGGGTTGAAACCGGCAGCCCAAACGCTCCATGGGACTGGCATATTTACATACATTGGGGTGGTTGAGAAAGGGGTCCATTGATCGGTAAATCTGCCAGTCGCATGGAGTGTTTCAGTAGGGAGATCCCTTTTCTCGCCCCCCCCCAGGCAGGTTCCGCAGTGCGTCGACGCGTCTATCCGAACACCCAGTCGGAGAGCCTGGGAGGTCGTCCCTATTTTGCACATGAAGTCACTAAGTGACTCACTTGTTGGAAGCTTTTTGACCACTTTGACGGTGTCCACTGGACGGATCCTTTGGGTTTGATTGAGGGGTGAAGCTTAGACAGTCATAGCCCAGTTGATCTGATTTGAGGAGTGCATACTGTTGAAACAAGATGCTCATGAACAAGTTTGGCAATCAAGGCAGTCCTGAACAGTCCTGCAGCAAACGGAGTGTTGGCACCAATCTTTTCTGTCCCACCCTCCCATGATGCTTGTGTGTGGCACATGCGTGGCACGCTTGGGCTTGAAGTTAGGCTGTGTGGGTGACTGATGTAGAGTACATTGAGCTTGGAGATGAAGACAGTAGTAATTATGCTCGAGATTGATAATTTATCTTTGACACTACCGTCATCTATGCCCTACATAGAAGTGTCGTGCTACGTACATTGGGAAGCTCCTCTTTTCCGTTCTGAAGATGCAGTTTTGTCTTACAGAGGAGGCTCCAACTGCCTACAGATGCGCAAGATGGCAGCTTGCAAGACCGCTATGATTATCCATGGTATCCCATGGTTCCTTCTTCATTCTTCTGCTAAAGACCGAACTCCGCCATGGCACAGCCGAAGTTGGAAGACTTGGCACTCGCCTGAGTGGAGACACGGGTTTTGGCTGACTGAGGGGATAGGCATAGGTGGATAGGCCTTTGCATACCATCGTACCGTTTGTGTGTTCGGAAAGAAACAGGTGGTTTGGTTCTTGTTGGTACTACATAGTTGACGGAGTAGTTCATGGTACTTTTGATTTTGACGTGATAACTCGACTCGCCGTGTCTTTTAACGACAAACACCAGATGTCTACCAGGACCCCCTAAGCGGTGTCTATCTTCTTAGAGGTTAACGGGTCTATCAACCACGCCTGGTGGGTCCTGCTACATAGTTTGTGTCGTTGCAGTCTGACCTTGGGGTGGTCCGACCTTGGAAAGGTCCAGACTTCGAACTCATCAACACCGCCTTTTCAGCATGAGGTGGAGCTTGCCAAGGCCGCACAAGCCTGGCTGAAGAGGCTTGGTCCTTTTCAGTGAATCGATCGAGCGAGGTTGGCGGAGGTGATCGACAGCGGAATTCCTAGAGCCACAAGGGTTGGATCATGTATGATCATGTCATGTTGTTATTTAATGTTTTTGCAGGATAGCGCTACTTGTGAATCTGTCCAAGCCACAGCTCATGTTGAGCAGTGGAATGTTTTTGCAGGATAATTCGAGAATAATGGGCCGGATCTAAGCAAAGATGTTAGTTGCGCTGCAGTTTTTGTTGATGTAAGAAGTACATCTCCTTCCCAAAGGATCCACTTCAAAGTCCGGACATGTCGAAAAGAGTGGCCATGTGCGAGCGCGCAACACCTGGCGTGTTTTCCACGCAGTTCCTCAGCTAAGAACGTGCCCAGAATCCCACAGGGAACGCTGCATCGGGCTACAATCTCCCGTGAAAAGAAAGCTTTCCCACGAAAACGAGAAAAGTCCAAACCCCAAACACTCCATGTATGGCATATTTACCTACATTGACCCCTGAAACCACCCCAATGTAGGCATATATGGCATACATGGAGTGTGTGGGAACGGCATTCCGCCAAACAAAACACCTCTCGGCACTGAAGCGGCGCCAGGGCTGCACTTGCCTCGGCAGACGCCGTGAAGAAATGGTCTCAACAGGCCACGGTGAACGAGACATGTGGCGACACGGCGACGTGGTAACGAGGGTGGAGACGAGACGAACGACGAGGACGTATTGAACAGAAATAGGGAGCTTTGGAGACCAAGTCGTAGGCCAAGTATATGGCACGCGACCAGAAGTCCTGGTCACCGAAGTTAGATTAGGGCAATAATAATGACAATTGTTTTGTTTGTTGAACAATTTCGTTCAGAGGCGGGCCCCCAGCTAAATGCAGTAAAACACAAGCTAGGCGCTAGTATAGCTCTAGCACCGCGCTAGCTTCTAATATATATTTCCATTATTGATTGATTTGTTTATCTACATGTCACCAAAAGAGAGCTTTGAACTCACAGAGAGCCAGATTGATGGTTGTTCACCAGTGAAGCTTGAAATTGTGATTTGAAATCTTGCTAGTATTGTGTCTGAAGTTTTCTGGCTTCAGAGGGTCTCCGGGTTTCCTCCCATGGCGTTTGTGGGTCCTGATGCACCTTCTCTTTGTAGAGTTGGACGTGGCGTGCCCTGTGGGGCGAAGATGGGCGCCTTGAAGTTTCATGAAGAATACCGCATATGGACATGCAAGTGCGCGCTCTGGCATAAGTTAGTCCTTCAATTCTGATTGTAAGTCTGTCATTTCCTGAGAACAAACATAGACCAATTTAATGTTTTGGCACCTGGAGGAAAATGAGGGGTTCACAGCCAGTGGCGGAGTACGAGCAAGTCATCACGTGGCTGCGCTCTTGGATGGCGAGTGGGTTTTCACGTCCAGGCTGAGCGCCTTCATGAAGGGCCGACCAGCGCTTGGGCGCAAGATGATGCTAGTGGTGGGGCTGGGTGTGTGTGTGTGTGTGGAGGCTTTGCTGTTGCCATTCTATTCTTGGCCTGGTTTCTTTTGTTGTTGTCTTGTTGTTGTTGTTGTTGTGGTGGTGGTGGTGGTGGTGGTGGTGCCTGTG